TCCATTTTTTTTATAAAATAATAAAATACATTTATATATTTATATATATACTACGAAAACTGTACAATATTGTATGCAAAAAAAAAAAAGCAGCAGAGGCCATCATGAGTAACGCTATACAAATGAAAGGCTATACTTTGCTTATCATGGTACCAAATGTTAGCAGCGAAGGATAGACACAAATAGATGCAGTAAGAAAGGACAGGTTACCCCAAACCCCTACCTTGCAGCTCTCGTACAAAAAACCCCAAAGAGAACAAAATAACTATCTCCAGTGGACAGACAAACCAGAGGGCCTGGAGCAAAGATGGAAACAGTGACCCTCTATAAATCAGGATGTTGCCAGCTGGGATCCTCTCCAAACCGAGGACGTGAGGATAAAGCATTCTGTTCCGTTTATCTGGGGAGGCTGGAGCCATTGAGACACCCGAATTTCGGCAGGTGTATTTGGATGGATGGGCGTTGAAGGATGGTATTGGAGTGAGCGGTGATTGTTTGTGGAAGACATCCCTGGGGGCTCTGCAGAAGTGAGTCTCTGCAGAGCAGGACAGGGTGAACAAGCCCAGGAGGATGAGCACGCACCTGACGACCCAACCATGCCAGAGCTTTGAGTGCGCTGGGCTCCAAAGGAGAGCTCCAGAGCTTGAAAAGTGCCACGGAGGGTCTCTGCCCACAGGTCTCTGCCCAGGCACCACGGCAGCATCTGGACGAAGCACCCTTGGATCTTTCCACCAAGTCCTGCCATCCGAACACAAATGTCCCGCTGGCGAGCAGCCTGCCCTGGCTCAGGCCTCGTAGAACTGCCTCTCCATCTGTTTGGTGAGGGTCCCACTGGACATCACGGTCCGGCTCATAAACTCTTTGGTGACCTGTTTGGTGAGGGTGCTGCTGGCACTCTCCACTCGTTGGGTCGTCATGAGCATGCCGTCTGCAATGAGAAGCTCAGTGGTCAGGACACCGCGCGAAGTATGGGGTCACAGGGAACAGGATCTGCTCTACCTGATGACTCCTGCCAGAGGTTTCTCCTTAAATACCACTTTCAGCAATGGAAAACCTCTCTAGATCAAGTGATTCGGTACTTTGCTATGTCACTTAGTAAGATGGATCTCCTAACAGCTCCCAAACTCTCCACGTTCCAGCGTGAAACTTGGAGTCCATGAACTCAAGTGGGACAACTACACTGATGTAATTAAAGATGGTCGTCACACTTCTCTCTTTTTTCCCACTCTGAAGAGATCTAACCTTGCAGGAGGAGCTATGATTTGGTCCCTAGTGATAGTCCGGGGGGACTTTGAAACCTCAGCGTTCCCTCTGTGACTGGGTAGCACATGGGGCAATGACTGCAACTGCCTCTGGGGCAGAGCAGGGACATGGTGTACGAAACTGTACGGTCCTCTTCATCAGTCCCACCTAATGGACCTTCCCTCCCTGCCTTGGACACTTGAGGTAAATGCATCCTCAGGCCTTTGGACAAGCAGAGTTATCCTTTGCTTTCTGAAGGTTTCAAAGTAGAGAGCGAGCCCCTACCTGTGAAGTGGGGATCCAGAGAGGAATGGCTGATGCTGGTTTTGGTGGTGTATTCGGTGGGGAAGTTGTACACTTCTTCTCTCATGTACTGCTGTCCTCCGAACTGGGAGAAAGTGCCTGGGGAGAAGGAAGGGGGCAAGTCAGCCAGGAAACGACAAGGAGCTTCCAACCCCTCAACCCTGCAAGGTGAGCACCAACAGCCAGCTCAGGAGGTTTCTCTTGCTGACATCGGAGCCGGGTTTAGGAGGAACTGGGAATACGGGGAAGGTCTTACACCTGTGCAGTGTAAGAAGCTGCCTCCAGATATGCGTACAACCAGGCATAAGACAGAAGTTTCATAAGAAATTAAACAGTGGCAGGTTCTCAAGATCCTCCCTCATTCAGTGCATCACGACTGGGACAATGCTCACAAGGCACAGCTTTGTCTTCATGGAAGACAATGTCTTCGTGTCTTTCATGGAAAATGGAGTCACCACCAGAGCTGGAAAGGGACTTCAGGAGTTGTGTTCCCTGCTCTGAGAGGTTTCTTATCTTTGCACCTCCACAAAGGCATGGTACTGTACCTCCATCCTGAGATTCGATGGTGATGATGCCCTCTCTCTCTGGCCCAAAGCCTTGGGTGGTCTTGGCTTGCACTTTGAACTTGTATGGGACATTCTCACTTAGGTGGGGCACAGTCAGGGTCGTTTCCGGATTGTCTCCTTCGACATAGATATTCCTGGGCTCCCCTAATCCACACAGACATACCAGCAGTGAAGACAGAGAGGAGTGATGGTCCCTCCACACACACTCCCCCCAACCCTGGCTGCTGGCTTGGCTTTCCCTAAGCTTTATGCCACCCACAGACGCTATGCTCGCACCCAGTTCTACTAAGGGTTAGGACAACCCTGTTTTAGTACGGTGGTCATCCTCAACAACCTCCCCTAGGTTTGGGCTGTAATAAACTGCAGGTCCTTCCTCTTCCCACCACATTTACTACACCAGACCATGCAAGGACACAAAGTGTTAGGGTCCAGCAGCTCCCAGGACTGGAATCAGGCTTATATCCCAACTTTGTCTGCACCGATGTGAGCAGACCACTTTGTTGCTGGTCCCAGTAAAAATGCAGCAAGTTGCTGCCTTTGCTGGAGGTACCTTGTGCTCTGCACAGGGAACTGGGCTTCCACAGCCTGATACCGTACCTCCTCCGTGCAGCATCTCACAGGTGACCATGTAGCCCAAGATGGACCCATTGGGCTTACGGGGTCTCTCCCAGCTGAGCTGCAGGGAGTCAGGGCTGAGGGCAGTGAAAACAAGTGGCCCGGGAGCGCTGGGTGTGCTCAGCGTGAAGGGTGAACCTGCAGGAGCGAGAGGTCAGGGTCACAGGAGGTGGCGAGGAGCCTGGGAGGGATCTGCACACAGCATTTATGAAACGAGCTGGAAGGTCTCAGCTATCTAGACAGCTAGCGGAAGGTGAATGCATGGGGAAGAAGGTCCTATTTCTAAATGAAAGGAAGGAAAGGAGAGCTCAGGATGGGGTAAGGGGAGAGAAAACAGCAAGTCCAGCACTGTAGCAGAGACATCAGTGCCACCCTTGTCCTGCCCCCCATCCACCTCACCTGGTACGGGGCTGAGCGGGCTCTGCGGGTCCACCTGGGACTCTATGGTGATGACTCCTTCCCTCTCGGGACCCCAGCCTTCCTCACTCTGCGCCTTCACCTTGAAGATGTAGGAGTGATTGGGCAGCAGGTCCTCTACCACCACTGAGTTCTGGCTGGGGTTGGGGATGGTGAGTCGGTGCACCTCTCCTGGGACACACAGGGAAGGGGGATGTCAGCACTACGTTGCAGGCACAAAGACACAGCCATGGCTTTCGCCTAAACTCTCTCTCAAACAAACTGCTTGGAAAAGTCACCTAGGACCCCTCGCCAGACACCTCCATCACACCTTGCCACCAACAACTGGTAGTGCAGGATGAGATGTTCCAAAAAAGGCTTGGGACAAACAACAGCTTCTTGAAAACTCAAGGATTTTCAGCCAGAGAAATACACATCTTCACTAACAATGCCCCAAGTTTCATGTAAAAATAAGACATTTTCATTCCATTTCTTCTCCCAAGTCCAACTTGATGAAAAAACCTTCAACTAAGATGTTGCAGCTGGTAGAGATCGAGTCCAAGGTTTTTCGGAGGAGAGGTGACTCCACAAGCAACCCCAAGAATTGTACCCCCAGCAGAAATGGGGAATGAGAGCTGTGGGGTAGCTGAGACATTTCCTCAAGGCTACACAAAAAGCAGCGTTGGGACCAGACCCTAAATCCCAAAATGGTTGAGGTTGGAAGAGACCTCTGGCGGTCATCTGGTTCAACCCCCCACCCCTGCTCAAGCAGGGTCATCCAGAGACAGTTTCCCAGCAGAAGATCCAGACCAGACTCTCCACCACCAGAAGCTCCCACCACCAACTGCCTGTTCACTGACCTCCATTGAGGAGCTGGTACTGCACGCTGTAGCCCTGCACCTCCTTCTCGCAGTGCGGCTCCTGCCAGCTCACCTTCAGGGAGGTGGGTCCCAGGGCGGAAAACACCAGGCGTGTGGGGGTGTCGGGGATGCCCAGCGGCAGCCTGGAGTCTGAAGTAAAAAAGGAACATCAGGGTGAAGGTTTGGGGGCTGAGGACTAAGGGGGCTGGAGGAGAGGAGGGACTGGCACGCTCAAGCGTGGGATGGTCCTGATGGTCTGGGGAGAACATGGCAAGATGTCATCTCTGCAAGCTGGTCCATCACAAGGGGGGACTGGCTGGCTCTGCACACCTACAGTGACATCCCATGGCCTTGGGGTGCCAACCTTGGGTGGGACAAGTGAAGGTAAGCTTCATGCCCCTGCAGTAGAGAGACCAAAGCAGGGGCCTGGGCGTTGTGTGTGTCACTCCTTGCTCACCCCAAAGCAGCCTGTCCAGTCTGCCAGAAGCTTCACAGACATCTTCAGACGTAGCTCAGTTAAGACTGGCCCTAGTCTATAGCTAAAGCAGCCCAAAACCTCCAGGGACTGTTGAAGGGGATGGGGGCAGCTGAGACCAGGACTGGGTGCTCCGGCTCTCCCCCCAGCTCAGCCCACTGGGACAGAAGGCTCACGGCGAGCACGGCAGCCTCCCAGTGACACTCAGGGACTGAAGCCCCTCATTGACACGGCCTTTGGCCAAGGAGCTTGCAGAGGGACATCTCTTATGGAGCACACGCTCTCCCCAAGAGTCCTCCAAAGACCTGTGGGGTAAGACTTGAACAACAAAGTTGTTAGGAATGAAGAGGACGGGGACAATGAGCTGATCAGCTCGTTAGAGCACGATGGCAGCAGTGGTGAGTGTTAATCAGCCCAGGTGGGTTGAAACACAGCTGAAGTCACCTGCAAATGGAAAGGTGGTGTGATGGAGGCACAGACCAGGTCAGCGTGGCACACAGCAAGCCATGGAGAGAGGGTTTGGGGCGAGCAGTGGATGGCAACAGCTCATGGACAGCCGGTGGCTTGGCTGTTATGGGATGCGTGGCTGGGAGGAGACACTGGACAAAGCTGTACCTATGTACTTGCAAATCCCTGCGGACCCATCAGTCATGATTATAGAGTCCCGAAAGCCAGTGCTGGGGTAGTAACCCTTCACCTTTGCCCTGCTCCTGACACCCACATGCCGGGGCCGTGGGATTGTCCTCCCAGCATCTTCATGGATGGGAGGGAGGAGTCTCCCCGGGTAATCTACAGAAGCAGTGCAAGAGAAAGAGAGAAAAACACCATTGGAGACTTCAGAGTGGGTTCAGCCCAGGTGCTGGCTCCTGCAGAGATGACTTTTTAAGGCTCAGACTTGAAGAGCCTTTCAACAACCTTCTGTCAGCACCAGCTGATGTACATGCATGGAGCTGAAAGGCAACCGTGCTGCTCGTTAGAGTAAGAAAAGGAGACACGTGCTCTTCCCAGAGTGCTTCAGGGTGTGAGGATAAGGAGGTAGCTCCCTTTCCCGAGCACTCTGCAGGTGAGGGCTGGGAACCCTTTCCAAACAGGTCTGGGAGCAGGGTGGCCTTAGCAAAGCACCTACACGTCAGTGGCGAGGACATGACCGTCCAAATCTCTGGTTCATAGGTCCCCTTAACCGTGAACACAGTCCTCACCCCAACAGGACTTGCAGGGCAGGGGTTCAAAGACAGTCATGGAGGTGGAAGGGAAGGACAGGTCCCATCACCACAGTACTCACCGTGCCCCACCAGCATCATGGAGTGGTCTCTCGTCAGCGAGGAGCTCCCCATCACCCTGTGCTCCTGCTGCATGTGGTAACTGGTGTTTGTGGTCCTGGTCAGCGTGCCGCTGCCACTGCCAGGGAAGGAGAAGTCCACCCGGCCATTCAGCAAGTGCTCTGTGAAAGAGGACACACGGTGAGGAACGTGGCTGGGGACAGGGCTGCTGCTCCAGTTTCCATGGGGAGGAAGCAGGAGGCATCATGGTGCACCCTGCCTTGGCTGCATCCTGGCTTCAGCCACTCTGGAAGGTTGTTCTGGAGCGCTACATCTAGAACAAGCCACAACCACCCATCACGATGATGCAGAAACAAACAAGTAAACGGAGACTTTGCCCTACACCCAGCACCAGAGACACCCATGGTGCCCAAGGTAACTCCAGACCTCGGCCTCGCTGGGGCACTGCCTTGTGGTTCTCGCCATGTTCTCTCACATCTCTCCTTAGACACAAGCACAGGTTTATAAATTCAGATTAAAAAAAGAAGGTGGAAGAAGGAAAACAGCCCTTTATGGAGGCGGTTTCTCCAAACCTCACTCTGGATCCCATCTCAGCTGGATCTGAAAAGCAAACTCTGCTCCGTCGTTCTGGTCCTTGACAAAGCCCCATCCCTTGCCAGCAGGCCAGGAGAGATCAGCTACCCATGAGAGAGCGATTTCTGTTTAACAGTCCAGCAGATCTGCCCCAGAAGCTCAGGGCACTTAATTAAGATGAGGAGCTGCCCTTGGAGGTGACACTTAGCAGGTATCATCTGAGTTTGCTCCTGCCTCGAAGGTCCAACCTTTAGTAGAAGCAACTTGCTAGCAGGCTCCCAAGTCCATGCCGAGATGGGGGTTACCTTGACACTCTTGTGAGGAGACACACCAGGACAAGGCTTTTGAAGCAGACTACAGCACGTGAACAATGCTGACATGAGGATGGGCACACAAAGGGAGGAAGGGGACACGTACTGGGGCAGACCCCAGCCGCCGGCTCCTCGGCTCAGAGCAGGACGAGACAGGACACTCAGTGCCGTAACGAAGTTGTCCTTCACCTGCTTGGGGACGGGGTGTCCCACTCCTCCTCAGGCTGCCAGTAGCCATGTCGCTGTCCTCCTCGTGGAGGAGACCCTCGGTGTCCGAGGAGAAGCGGCTGCTGCCAGAGAGGCGGGGAATGGTTTCGGGTGGGAGCCTCCAGGTGATGCGGCGAAGATCCAAGTCTTCTCCCAGCAACTGCACATATTTCCACCTGGAGCCTTTTGGGACAACGCAAGCACTGGTGTTGGCATGATCTGCAGGGGACAGAGCGGGCTACCCACCACCTTCGTGCTGCTTGCTGGGGAGGGGAAGGGGCAGGCGCCAGTAGGAAGGACACCCATTCACAGCCCATCTCGCCAAGCGTTGGCTGATGAGTTCAGGCGGTGCAACCATCGTGTCACTGGTAGAAGGAGGATGGTGGGAACATGACATGCACGGGGGGTTCCTCAACCCCAGGACTGTTTTCCAGCCCTACGTCCATCACGACAAAAGGCAAGAGTCAAAGTCCCACCACACGCCTGTCCCTGTCATGAAGAGTCTGCGACAATTGTCCTCTGCTCAAGAGAGGTTTCCTCACTCCTTGATGTGCGCTCAGGATGGTCGGACTCTTGGTGTTCTCATTACCTTGTTCTCTGAAAGGACCAGGGACTTACTCCTGGATCCCAGGCTCTGGAGAACCTCCCCAGGGAAGACCCTCCAGATCCTACTGGCAAGCCTCATCATTTCACTTATGGCCCATCTTCCCCTCGTTGTCCCAGTACAAGACAAGGGAGCCAGCCTCATTCAGAGAGTGAAGCGATGGAGGAAGAGAGGCCAGTGCCTTCCCAGCACTTGGTGAGTTCCCTCCTGTTGACTTGGCCAAGACCCTAAGCATCCAAGAGACTCCAGCTTGGTTGCTGACAGTAACTTTCGTGGTCCAGCTAAATGGCAACAGGAAGGGAAGATGAGCAGGGAGGGCCATGAAAAGCTCCTCTCCCACCGCACACTGAGATTTCTCTCTGCCTCATAGCTAAGACAAAGAGGCACTGGTCTTATTTACACTGTGACTAGTCAAGTGTTCCCATGGATGCAGCTACTGTGCTTTGGAAACGCTGATCTCCACCATCTCCGTGACTTGGATCTCCCCATCTCCGTGAGGAGGAAAGGAGCAGCGAAGGTCATTGCTGAAAGCTGTTGTTAAGGAAAATGAATGTTAAAAATGACCTTTGCAGACCTTAGAGCAACGCACCTGAATCGTCAGAGACACTGGGACGCTTGCTGCCAGCTGGAGAGCGAAGGACATCTGCGCTGTACATCAGGTAGCTGTCGTAGTCCTCGCCTCCCTCTGCATCAATGATGGGGACGTCAGGGATGATAGGGACTGGAGGAGAGGTGGAAAGTGCCGTTAGACAAGCAGGTCAAACCCACACAGGCCTCCAATGCTCAGGCTGGCCTTCAGCACTCACACCAGGGTGGCTGGTGCAGCAGAGCAAACAGGGTGTGGAGAAGCAGCTGGGGTGATGGGGAGCACTCCTGGGCACTGCTCCTGTCCCCCCCTGCTCCCCATCCGGGCAGGGCAGTAACTCACTGGACATCGGGCGCTTGGGCTGCGTAGCAAGGTTGATGGTTGCTTCTCTCTCGGGTCCCCAGCCAGCTCCATTTCTGGCTTTCACCATGTAGCGGTAGGGCTGGGACTCCCGCAGGTTTTCTATCAGCACCATGCGCTTCTTTGGGTCTTCGACCAGCACCTTCTTCATCGGGCCAATGGGTACTGCGAATACAGATACGCCTGTCCCCCACAAGGTCACGAGACACAGAGGACCCCACAGCACCCCAGCCCTTGGCCAACAGGCTCTCTGAGGTTTGGCGTTGGGACACAGCCTGGCTCTGGGACAAGGTGCAGCAGCTATTTGGGCCGCTCATGACAGGCATGACGTAGTCTCAGGGAAATGCCCAAACCGAATGGCGAAGCCAGCCTACAGCAGAGGTCTCCTGTTGCTGGTGTGTCACCAAAGAGCATCTTCGTGGCACTCCAGCCCTAGTTCTAGACCTACGAACTAAGATTTTAAGAGGAAAACCAACACAAAACACTATGGAAGTGAATGGGAACTGAGGGCGCTCCAGACTTCGCAGAATTAAATCCTAAGCGGTGATTTTTCTGTACTCCTTTCATCAAGGAGTGAGCCCTCCAAATCCCAGTTTTCACAAGAAACATGCTTGGAGCTGTTCTGGTTCTGCTACTGGTTGGGACCGGCCCAGCCTGCGGAAAGTGTACTCCAGCCCCTCAGCCTGGCTGGACTGCCCTGGTCAGAAAATGAGCTCTTACCGTTGTCCTCGTTGACGAGTCCGTAACTGACTTCGTAAGCCGTGATCTCCCCATTGGTTTCTGCAGGCTCAGCCCAGCTCAGCTGTGTCACGGTGGAAGACACGACGTTGAAAGCCAAGCGGCCGGGCTCGCTGGGGACTGGAAAGGCGAGAGCAAAGGGTCCGGGTTACCGCAAGTCAGGAGCCAGCGCACACAGATACCCAGAGCTCCCCAGATCACGGCTGGGTCGCAGTGGGAGCCGCTCAGCGCTTGTCCCCAAGACCATCAGAAGCTCCGAGCTGGAGCCCTGACCCCACGCCAGGGGCACAGGCACCAACTTGCTCCCACATGGAGGGAAGCGAAGTGCAGAGTCGCTCACCATCCTCAAGCGTGCGGCAGTGGATGATGTCGGAGTAAGCCCCTTCACCCATGGCGTTGTAGGCACAGACTTGCATCTCGTAGTCGCAGAAGGGGTAGAGGTTACTCAGCTCTGCTGATGGTGCTTTGACATCGATGAGATGGGCTTCTGACTCGGGGTCTCCTTGGATCCAGTATTTCACCTGGCAAAGCAAGAGCAAGCCATGATTCCTTCAGATCCTCACCATAATGGGTGAGAAATTCCCTCTCTCTTATTAGATCTCCTCTGGGAAAGCCAGGGTGTTGTGCCATTCCTCTGAAACGGGAGGCCAGGACAGCCTGGGCTTTTCATGTTAAGTGATGGAAAGGGAGATCAACCCACCCGGAATCTTTCCTGCAGATCTCACATCCACCCAGCAATGGTCCCTCAAGGATGGAGGGGGCTGAAGAGGTGAGCTTGCTCCCTCCCTTGGGCATCTTCTCCCCATCCCTTTGGCGCAAATAACTGTGTGTGTGAAACAGGATGGGACCCACACCCTCCCCCAGGATCCATTCCCCCCTTACCTTGTACCCCAGGGGTTTTCCCGGCGGAGGAAACCAACTGAAGCGGATTTCTCTGGAGCTGAGAGCGTGGGCATTGGGATTAAGCGGTGCACTCAGGCGGCCTTTGGGGGACTGGGAGACCTGGCTCAGGCCGGTCATCGAGGGGACACCGTCCACCACCTCTGCAGACATGAGGAAGAATGGTCACATCAGTGCTAGTCCCCCCGCATGGAAGGAAAGGAAGGAAGCGTGCCTCCCTCCAGCACTGCCCTGCCATCCTGAGTGAGCCTCTCAAGGCATTCCCCATCGTAGAGAAGGGAAACTGAGGCACTTGGTGATAACGTCCTGCAAAGCCACACAGCAAGCTGGCATGAGAGTTGGGGTCAGACCCCCCTCCCCCTCCAAGTCCTGCACCTCCTGCTCCTTCTCACAGGCTGCCCAGGTAGAAAGAAATGAAGAGATCACCTCCTTGCCTCTGAAAATCTTTATCTCTGTCTGAACGTATTTAATAATGCTTCAACATCTTGATCAGTTGCCCTGTGCAGCCATGAGAGAAGACGGAGATGGGCAGAGCCTTCTCGAGTCGCCCAGTTACTTCTCCTGGAAACCCCCCAAGTCCAGCCGAGAGCTCTCTGGAGCCTCTCCAGCCCCAGTGCCTGCCCCTGAAGTGGTTCTGGTTGGTCCAGGGACAAGGGGCTTTCTTGTACCCCCCCAATTCATGACCAGGACTATGATAAATACCTCTATGTTATCAACCCACTTGATGACAACTTTTATAATTTTGCTTGTCCAGCCGCAGGAACCAACAAGCACAGCTCATGGCAAGTCCTGCCTCTCCCCTATTTTTATACCTTTTCATTCAAATCCCCAAGGAAAAGGAATGAAGAATCCACTCTGTTTCCTCTTGCGAGGTAGGTTGTCCATCTTCTTCCCACCCACTGTCTATACGCACTTGTCCCTCTAGAGGGAGGCCCAAATCTACCGGTCGGAGCTGGAGGAACCTCCTCATTGCTGCTCTTTGGGTGAGGAGCAGGGCTGGGGCTCAGTCCACCACCTCCGGGTGGGCTGGTCCTGTGTGGGGGTCCCACACCCCCTG